CACAAGCTAGAAGAGCAGGCAGGAATACGAGGGAAGTCACTGAATGGATCAAAGAATGCTTAAGAGGAAACAAACGTGACGAGTGGGGTTCCATAAGGCTCTAGGACTAGTACCATTTCTTGTACTCGCCTAGTTGTGGTTGCAGGGCTCGAGTCATAGCTCCTGGCCCCGCTTCTTCACTGGTCGCTACTGGGTCACTCTCCCTGAACCATGAGCTTTATCATACCTCAGCTTAAAGCTATGTATGGATCCTGCCTCTACTACATCGCTTCCCAAACTATTCCACTTCCTGATTACTCTGTGACTGAAGAAATACTTCCTAACATCCCTGTGATTCATCTGTGTCTTCAACTTCCAACTGTGTCCCCTTGTTGCTGTGTCCCATCTCTGGAACATCCTGTTTTTGTCCACCTTGTCAATTCCTCTCAATATTTTATATGTCGTTATCATGTACCCCTATCTCTCCTGTCCTCCAGTGTCGTCAGGTCGTTTCACTTAACCTCTCCTCGTACGTGAATAGCTGAAGGGATAGATTCAGAGGTATCCTTGTTCACAGATGATGTGAAATTAATGAGAAGGACACCAACAAGTGAGGACCAGGAAAGACTACAAATGGACCTGGACAGGCTGTAGATCTGGTCTGACACGTGGCTACTATAATTTAACCCAAACTAGTGTAAAATTATGAATCTTGGGACAGGCTCGAGGGACAAGTAGAAACTCGAGGGACAGAGTACAAACCTCACTCAAGGAATACCTCGGAGCATGCATTATTCCGAACATGTCACCTAAATAACTGCTACACCAAATGCACATCTGGTTTCATGAACTTAAGCAGAGTCATTCACGACGCTTTATAGGTTCATGTCAGGTCCATATTGAGATGTGCGGCACCAATATGGAACCCACACCTGATCAAGCAGTGGAGAAAGTGCCGAGGTTTGTAATGAGACCAATTCCAGAGCTAAGGAGAGAGATTAAGGGAGCTAAACTTGATAACATTAGAGAAAATGATTAGGGGCGATATGATAACGTAAGATACTGAGGAGAGTTGATATGGTGGACAGGGACGGGTTGTTCGAGAGGCGGGAAGCAGGAACACGAGGGCACAATTTAAAATTGAAAACATACGAACCACAGAGATGTTCGGATAGGGCTCTCAAAGCCAGGAGAGAATGAAACCAGTAGCGGTAAGCGAAAAGGCAGGGCCAGGAGCTAAAACTTTATCTCTGCAACCACTTATAGGTGAGTACACACACACACACACACACACTGATTCTCAGGACGGAAACAGTGCGGAACAGGATCCTCCAAGAGAAACCACGATTGAAATACTCGGAAGAGTACAAGAGGGTGTTCCTAGACAGAGACAGAACAAAATCAGAACGACAGCAGCTGAGGGAGAGGACAAAAAAGCGAAAGGAGCTAGGAAAAGAGACAAGGAGGGAACCAGCAGAGGTCTGTCAGAGCAGGACAGAACAGCAAGGGCAAGCACACACACAACTACTCTCAGAACCATACAACCTATCACACCATCCCAACACACCCTACAATCCATACCCACAGCCTCCACCCAACACCAAGCTATAGAACCCCACAGTATGCCACCAGGTCTCCCACCCTCACAAGCCCCCCAAACCACAGTGTTGGAAAGGAAACTGAAGGTATGGTACACAAACGCTGATGGAATAACAAATAAGTGGGAGGAGTGGCAAGAAAGAGTCAAAGAAGCATCACCGGACATCATAGCTCTCACAGAAACCAAGCTTACAGGTATGATAACAGATGCCATCTTTCCAACGGGATACCAAATCCTGAGGAAAGACAGAGGGAACAGGGGGGGTGGAGGAGTGGCGTTGCTGATCAAAAATCGCTGGAATTTTGATGAGCTGGAGAGAGAAGATAGCGGAGAAGAAAGTGATTACTTAGTGGGAACACTTCACTCTGGAGGTCCCAAGGTGGTAATAGCAGTGATGTATAACCCACCACAGAACAGCAGGAGGCCAAGGCAAGAGTACGACGAGAGCAATAGAGCGATGGTTGACACACTAGCTAGAGTGGCCAGAAGAGCTCATGCATGCAGGGCAAAGCTCCTGATCATGGGTGACTTTAACCACAAGGAGATAGATTGGGAGAACTTGGACCCACATGGGGGCCAAGATACTTGGAGGGCTAAGATGATGGAGGTGGTACTGGAGAACTTCATGTACCAACACGTAAGGGACACTACAAGAGAGAGAGGAGAGGATGAACCAGCAAGGCTGGACTTAGTATTCACCTTCAGTAGTGCAGATATCGAGGACATCACATATGAAAGACCCCTTGGGGCCAGTGACCATGTGGTTGTAAGCTTCGAATACACAGTAGAGCTACAAGTGGAGGGAGAAGCAGGAAGGCCAGGACGAATGAAGCCAAACTACAAGAAAGGGGACTACACAGGAATGAGGAACTACCTGAACGGGGTTCAGTGGGACAGAGAACTGGCAGGGAAACCAGTTAATGAGATGATGGAATATGTAGCAATAAAATGCAAGGAGGCTGAGGAGAGGTTTGTACCCAAGGGTAACAGGAGTAATGAAAAAGCCAGGATGAGCCCATGGTTTACCCAAAGGTGCAGGGAGGCAAAAACCAAGTGTGCTAGGGAATGGAAGAAATATAGAAGGCAAAGGACCCAGGAGAATAAGGAGAACAGTCGTAGAGCCAGAAATGAATATGCACAGATAAGAAGGGAGGCCCAAAGACAATATGAAAATGACATAGCAGCGAAAGCCAAATCTGACCCGAAACTGTTGTACAGCCACATCAGGAGGAAAACAACAGTCAAGGACCAGGTAATCAGGCTAAGGAAGGAAGGAGGAGAGACAACAGGAAATGACCGGGAAGTATGTGAAGAACTCAACAAGAGATTCAAAGAAGTGTTCACAGAGGAGACAGAAGGGACTCCAGAAAGACGGAGAGGTGGGGCACACCACCAAGTGCTGGACACAGTGCACACAACCGAGGAAGAAGTGAAGAGGCTTCTGAGTGAGCTAGATACCTCAAAGGCAATGGGGCCAGATAACATCTCCCCATGGGTATTGAGAGAGGGAGCAGAGGCGCTATGTGTACCCCTAACAACAATATTCAATACATCTATCGAAACAGGGAGATTGCCTGAGGCATGGAAGACAGCAAATGTAGTCCCAATCTTTAAAAAAGGAGACAGACATGAAGCATTAAACTACAGACCAGTGTCACTGACATGTATAGTATGCAAAATCATGGAGAAGATTATCAGGAGAAGAGTGGTGGAACACCTAGAAAGGAATGATCTCATCAACAGCAGCCAGCATGGTTTCAGGGACGGGAAATCCTGTGTCACAAACCTACTGGAGTTCTATGACATGGTGACAGCAGTAAGACAAGAGAGAGAGGGGTGGGTGGATTGCATTTTCTTGGACTGCAAGAAGGCGTTTGACACAGTTCCACACAAGAGATTGGTGCAAAAACTGGAGGACCAAGCAGGGATAACAGGGAAGGCACTACAATGGATCAGGGAATACTTGTCAGGAAGACAGCAGCGAGTCATGGTACGTGGCGAGGTGTCAGAGTGGGCACCTGTGACCAGCGGGGTCCCGCAGGGGTCAGTCCTAGGACCAGTGCTGTTTCTGGTATTTGTGAACGACATGACGGAAGGAATAGACTCTGAGGTGTCCCTGTTTGCAGATGACGTGAAGTTGATGAGAAGAATACACTCGATCGAAGACCAGGCAGAACTACAAAGGGATCTGGACAGGCTGCAGAACTGGTCCAGCAATTGGCTCCTGGAGTTCAATCCCACCAAGTGCAAAGTCATGAAGATTGGGGAAGGGCAAAGAAGGCCGCAAACGGAGTACAGTCTAGGGGGTCAGAGACTACAAACCTCACTCAAGGAAAAAGATCTTGGGGTGAGTATAACACCAGGCACATCTCCTGAAGCGCACATCAACCAAATAACTGCTGCAGCATATGGGCGCCTAGCAAACCTCAGAACAGCATTCCGACATCTTAATAAGGAATCGTTCAGGACCCTGTACACCGTATACGTTAGGCCCATATTGGAGTATGCGGCACCAGTTTGGAACCCACACCTAGCCAAGCACGTAAAGAAACTAGAGAAAGTGCAAAGGTTTGCAACAAGACTAGTCCCAGAGCTAAGAGGTATGTCCTACGAGGAGAGGTTAAGGGAAATCAACCTGACGACACTGGAGGACAGGAGAGATAGGGGGACATGATAACGACATACAAAATACTGAGAGGAATTGACAAGGTGGACAAAAACAGGATGTTCCAGAGATTGGACACAGTAACAAGGGGACACAGTTGGAAGCTAAAGACACAGATGAATCACAGGGATGTTAGGAAGTATTTCTTCAGCCACAGAGTAGTCAGTAAGTGGAATAGTTTGGGAAGCGATGTAGTGGAGGCAGGATCCATACATAGCTTTAAGCAGAGGTACGATAAAGCTCACGGCTCAGGGAGAGTGACCTAGTAGCGATCAGTGAAGAGGCGGGGCCAGGAGCTCGGACTCGACCCCCGCAACCTCAACTAGGTGAGTACAACTAGGTGAGTACACACTTATTAATGTCAAGGTTATAAAAATATGTATAATAAAATTCATATCAACCATTCCATGGTAATACTGAACTTCATTCTATTAATATCTTTGTAAAATTGTGTAAACTTAATTTGTTGTTTTTATTTATACTTATCTAGCTTATGTATCTTACTACATTATTTTTAATCAAACATAATTTCCAGTTTTCAAAAACTACGCTGAAAACTTTCCATTGAATAAAGTTCATTTCACTTAAAGCCTAATTTTACGTTTGATCTTGCAGCTAATTTATTTTTCTTGCAATATAATACCAGTAAAGTGAAACGGAATATTGTTTCGTTATCTTATCTGACACAAATATTTTTAATTATTTATCAAATTATTTATATTAGTTTCATCCTCTGGCATGGTTCTGTACTTTTAGGATCGATGGGGGAGGACGCCCTTAGATGATGCCAGCAGCTTTGGTCATCCCGACTGTGGCGAAGTGATTATTGAATGTAGCAAGAAGAGAGGCATCGAAATTCCTCTTCCACTTTCTGATGCCAATGACTTTCATGCAGATTAAATTGCTGGGCACTTTTGTATATGTGGTATAACGAGATATAGTGAAGAATATAGCTTTAATTAAGGTTTTGTTTCATCTCACTGCTATAAGTGATTCACAATTAACTCAACAATTGTAGATGAAAGTATCTGTAGAGCATGAGTTTAATAGCGCTGGAAGTTTGTTCCAGACACGTGCCATTAACAACAAAGAGAAGATGCAAGTTAGAAAGAAAAAAAAGTGCCCCTCTAAAGGCGAAGATGGAGAATTACAGAAATTCTCAAAAGCTACGGATTTTTTAAAGAACGACACTGGCTATGGAAATGGAAAAACATTAGGCTCAAACTGAATGCATTGTACAGAACCCACGAGAGACAGGGAAAATAAAAAGCATAAATAAAATTTAAAGAAATCCTAAATACTACTTCTCATGTAAAATCCATGGCAAAAGGCACATTCAGCATCTGACCCTCGCTTAAAGGTGGAACCTACATTGATGACAATAAACAAATGCGGGAAATACTGAAGTTACTGTGCCTCTCTGTGCTCAGTGACCCACTAATCAGTATAAAGATAGACAATCCAAATGAGGGTTTTCATGGATGAGACTCAAAACCCCGCTGACATCTCCATAATGTCTGATATAACCCTAGCCCCAGTTGACTTGAAAAAGTCATCAATTCCATGCCCCTGCACTGCCCCAGGCCCTGACTCACGAAACTGCATATTCATCAAGAATTGCAAGAAACCACTGTCTGGTGCCTTGACTGTTCTATGGAGTAGGAGCCTGGATACAGGAATCATCCCAGTCCCTAAAAAAAACAATGACATAGCCCCACCCTATGAAGCTAATATCTCACAGTATCAAAATCTTTGAGAGAGTTTTAGGCAAGATTGCTAATCACATGGAATGTCAACAACGGCACAGCCCAGGGCAACATGGGCTCAGAACAGGTCGCTCCTGCATCTTGCAATTGCTTGACTATTATGACATGGTCTTGGTTGCAGTGGAAGACAGATTGCGGATTTAGTGTACACTGACTTTGCAAAAGCCTGTAACAAGTGCGACCATGATAAAATAGCCCACAAAATCGTGCAAAAGCATTAACTAGGAAAGTGGGCAAATAGGTATTTAATTTTCTAATGAATAGTAATAGTAGTAGTAAACGGAGTGAAATCAGAGGTTGCCATAGTGAAAATTTCTGTTCCCAAAGGCACGGTACTGGCTCGTGTTCTCATTCTCATATCCGTCATAAAGACATGGCATCTTATCATCTTTTGAAGATGATACTAGAATCTGTATGAGAGTGGCATCCAGTGAGGACATAGCAAGCCTCCAAGCTGATATAAACAAAGCCTGCCAGTGGGCCACTCATAACAATATGATGCTTTGAAAGATTGAGGATGTATAGACTGGAACACAATCTCTCAAGAGAGCATGAGACTTGAGAGACTTGGGAGTGTCACTATCAAAACAGCAAGGAAAATTATCTGCTAGATAGCCAAGAGTTTTCAAGACACGAGATGCCAAGCCAATGATGATACTCTTCACTTGTTTTCTCTAGGTGAGGCCTGGTCTGGGGCTGGGCTGTGAGGGCGTTAACCCTGGGAACACACTTCAGGTAGACGACGTTTCGGTTCATCCTGTTATAAAGCTCAGGACGGACCTAAACATCTAGTTTCAGCTCCGTATTGAGGGTTATGTATTGTTCGATCATTGTAGCTATTGTTCTTTTGTCAGTGACTGTAATTAAGGTATCTTGTATTACTGTTCATGGCCCGGTGTCATGGAATTTTTTAAACGTTCATAATTTATATAGGCATTCCTGTACATTTATATAATCTGAAAAAAAAAAAATCTCTTAGTCTGTAATGTTGAATTATGAAGATGGAAGTGAGAAACAAAGAGTGTAGTATTACAATGTTTAAGATGATACTGGAAGTGTGTGGCAAGGATTGTAGTATTACAGAATGTTTTTGATGATAATGGAAGTGTGGCAAGGATTGTAGTATTACAGAATGTTTTCTGTGATATTTATTATTACACATCAGTTTCCCACCAAGGCTGGGTGACTCACAGGACACTGAAAGCACGTTCACTGTCACTCATTCCGTAGCTGTCTCTCATTATATTAATAAGGAAGTGCTAAACTTTTAGCGCCTGGAGTTTGAGGTAATCAGGTTTGATCCAAGGAATAGGAAGGTAGCTCCAGTTTTTTGGATCAAGAGCCTTTCACCAGCTTGAAGACACTAGTAGTGTTCCTGTGTTGTAGGCTAAGTGACTTTGGCTGTCTATGGAAGCCTGACTACTGGGCAAGTTAAGTAGTGATCTCTCTCCCGTTAATGGATAACGGGACTTTGGCTTGTCACTGTACATTTGTTGGCCTGCTTCATCTCTACTTTGCCTCTAATGAATTGTTTTACAGGCTTTTCTGTTGTGTACCATTATGTCTTCCTCATCCCTTCTTACAACGTTTCTTTAGTCTTTTTTTTTTCACTGATACCTAATACCTGTCTGTTCATTAATGCCTTAACACTGTAATATATTCTGCAAGAATATCATAACTCCAGGCACTGGCTTGGAGTTTTAAGACTCGCTCGCCATGGGTTCAAACTCCATCCATCCCGTGGTTTGTTTGCAGCCGTGTTATTAGGATTTCGTGAGTCAAGAATATTAATTTTTAAAAGGGTGAGCCAGGAGAAGGCCTCAGCCAGACGACCAAAAGCTTCAGTGGTGGGTCATCATAGGACTAAGACCCGCGTCAGGAAACACTTGTCCTGTTTCCTGGTGAATCTTACCTAACCTAACCTAACTAATGCATTAGACTCACCATCATGTTGAATTCTTCAGCAAATACAGTGGGGTATGCTATAACGAGTCTAATTGATTCTAGAACCTCGTTCGTTATAGAATAATCCGTTCCAGGCCCCCAAATACAGCCCCTTAATGTAAAATATAATTTAAAATTTCAGGAGTATAAATGTGCATTTAAACTCCTGAAATAAAGAATATCATTAATGCTTGTAATAAAAAAATTAGTACAAAGACTAATAAAAAATACTGTACTTGATCCTAGCTCAGTGTTGTTGAGGATGCAGGACAGGAAACAGGATGAGAGAATTACTGAGAAGAGATGGAAGGAGTGGAGTCATCCTTCTTAGTCTATCCTACACCCAGTTCTTCTCAACCATCTTTTTAATTTTTTTAATATTTTCAGTTTTATAGGGAAAACCGTTCGTTATGTAAATATTCGTTATATAAACCGTTCGTTATAGCATACGCCACTGAACTGATTAAACAGATGACCTCATCCCCCGTCCCTCTCAGACTCTCCACTCCTTTCATAGATGGAGAGTTCACAAATGACCTGCACATAGAAAAACTTGTGACGACGCTTCGGTCCTACTTGGACCGAAATGTCGTCACAAGAAACGTGACCAAATATAGATACAGGTACAGTGATATAAGAATTTTAAAGATGTATCTATGCATTTATACCCATTAGTCATCCTATTTCATGACAAGGACAGTTAAGCATGCAACACAGGTACATTTATGCAGACTTTAGTGTTTAAATATATTTTTAATTATATATTCCCATAGAGTAAGTTCTATAGTACAAGATAATTTAGCAATAATAAAGTTACTATTTTTTGCTGTAGTATTTTTAAATATTTGTGTAAATCTTTTCCGTCATCCATGTTGCTGCAACGTAGTATTAATATATAAGTAAAATTGACGCTTTTAAAGAGATTAGAGATTACATAAGCTAAGAAAATTAATTTAAAACCAATACTATCCAGTCTGTATTTGACTTAATGAGAGAACAACATGGATATGGTTAAGTTGTGCCCATCATGCATTTCATTTTTTTTTGTGTTGTTGGCGTTCTTGCATTATGTAACATGTGATATGTTATGTCTTCCGAGGGATATAACTGATTTAGTACCTGTTGTTGAAGTTTTGTTATCAAGGAGACAGTGTCTGGATAGCAGCAGTTTTATTATTGAATTTATCGGTGAAAAAGTTTACAATACACTGTTATATATTTTGTATTGTCACGTAATACTATTGTATACCAGAAAACATATCAAGGGAAATTATTTGTTTGTGCTTCAGACTACTGGGAATTGTTATAGAGTAATGTTACAGTTATTATATGTATAAGCAAAAGTTTTTGAATAAATTATACACTTTGTATCCGAACAGATATATATTGCTATTCCTATTTCTTCATTAAGTCATACATGTTGGATATATAAATATGAAAAATGGAGGTGTTAAAATTTCTGCCAGACTAAAAAAGCCACCGACTTTCTAGTGAAAGGCTCTTGATACAAGGAACTGGAGCATAACACGATCAAATTTTAAGGTGTGATACAGCGTTACATCTCCCTATCTGATCTTTGCTATAAATATGTTGCATATACGAAAGGTAAGGATGTATGCGGGAGCCAAAAGCATACCACGGGAGAGGACAATACTGATAACTTCCCTTAGATTTTCTACGCCACAGGGGGATCTGGGAATACATGGTTTTTCCATTTCTTTTGTTTGTTTCTCTGCAGTGTAGTGGTGGTGGAATAAACAGCTGTTGGAGACATGATGATACACACGAACACGTCTAACCATCTACAGTCAAGAGGGATATTATACAAAACACTAGTGGTGCTAAGAACCTACGTACTTTGAACAAAGCAGAAAAATCCTTTTTATTTCCAATAACATACAGACTGAGCGTTTGGGTTAAGACGGAAAGAACAAGAATTAGTTAAGGGATGAACAAGACATTTGGGCAAATCTCCATGATCCTTGTTGGTTCAGCGCTTTATTTGATTATAATAATTGGACAAATCTCGTAAACACCTGCTACCCTGCTTACCTAAGAGTTAGTCTGCTGGTGTGGGTCGCATCTTGGGGAAGGATCTAAGGACCCCAACGGAAATAAATTACACTATTTGGAGCCATTCTGGGTTACTGATCCCCCAAGATAATCTGAATAGTCTTCTTCAGCTCATCAGTACACATCCCTACCTGGAGAGACTCCAGGTAGGGATCCCTGGTGTATTTTTCTTATCAAGAGGGAAAATCTATCCATCGGTCAAAGAATGTGACTCGATGCTGAAGGGTTTTTGATTTAAATAACTTGAGCGACACTCCCTTTCCTCGGATCAAATCTGATTACCTTACAGCAGGAGTTGTATGACCCTTACAGGCTTAGAACTTCCTCGTGATTACAATAAATCACTCCACATTGCCTAACGTAGTCTTACAATCTGCAGTTGCTGACACAAGGTACAGTTTGTTTGTCAGAAACGAAAGGATTAGTCTTATATGAGCTGACGTTGGATGACTCCATAGCTAAAGTCATGCGCGTATCTTGGCACCAGTTTCCTCCGTTGCACTGGCACTGACACAGAAAGGACACGAGCCTCCACCTCAATGTTTCCCTTCAAGGGAGGTTCCTCGATGTCAGTGAGGGGTTCTTGATTCAAGGAACTAGACCTATCCTCTATTTTCTTGGATCAAACCTGATTGCCTCTCATTCATCCCTACAGGTGAATGAGAGGCAATCAGGGATTTGTATGACCTAAAGAGTTTGTATGACCCCAACGGGTTTAGCACTTTCCCATGAATGTAATAATTTTCAAATGTTTAAGTTTTTAGTTGAGGGCACATATTATGTTTTCCTTTGGAAGCCTTAAATCCGTAGGGAGCAGTTTTTTTTTTTTTTTTTTATTCGCCGGTAGTCTCCCGGCCCGGGTCTTTTCCAAGTAGTGGTGACCCGGCCTTGGCTCCCTATCTGGGGAGTGTCTCGAGACTTAAGTCTCCCATGGGAGGAGGTACAAGTACCCCCTCATCTTTGGGACCAACTGTCCTCAGGCCTAGCCACATTCCCCGCCCTCACGGGGCTCGTAGGGAGAAGCTAGGCCTCTGGTCTGCCATCTGCCCCGCCCCAAAAGGGGCTCGTGGGGATGGCAGTCTTGTGAGCTGCAGGTGGTAGCATAGTGTCTGGGGAATAGATAATCAGGTTTGAACTAAGGAACAGGAAGTTTTTATTATTTTTTAGGGGATCATGGGCTTCACCAACATCAAAGTATGTATTCCCATATCTTGAAGAGGTCCCGTGGGCGTTTTACAAGCTCCGTGACTTTTTATTATTCTGGGTGAACAATCCTTCAAGGGAGGCTCTTTTGCGCAGATGGGAAACTGTTGATCCAAGGAAATGGATCTAACCTTTCCTTCTTCGGATCGGGCCTGAAAACGTCCCATTGAGCTATGTATCACTGGTCAGGCCTCATTGAGATATGCTGCACAGTTCTGGTCACTGTTACAAAATGGATAAAAATGGACTTGAAAACACAAAGAAGGATGACAGTTGATCTCATGTATCAGAAATCTTTCCTACGAGGATAGACTGAGGGAACTGAATCTGCATTCCCTAGAAAGGCGTAGGGAAGCTATGACTGAGGTGTATAAGTGGAAAACAGGAATAAATAAAGGGGATGTAAATAACATGCTAAAAATGTCTAACCAAGACAGCACTCGCAGCAATAGGTTCAAGTTGGAAAAAAATAGATTTAGGAAGGATATAAGAAAGCACTGGTTTGGTAACATAGTTCTGAATGAGTGGAGCAAACTTCCGAGTAACGGCACTGAAGTTAAAACATTGTGTAGTTTTAAAAATAGGTTAGACTTGACTAGCTTGGGCCAGTAGGCCAACTAGATAAGATTTTGTTCGGACTTTTAACCCCGGAGGGTTAGCCACCCAGGATAACCCAAAAAGGAAGTGCGTCATCGAGGGTCTGTCTGCCTTATTTCCATTGGGCTCCTCAATCTTGTGCCCCAAGATGCGACCCACACCAGTCGACTAATACCCAGGTACCTACTTGCTAGGTTAACAGGACAACAGGTGTAAGGAATCGCATCCAATGTTTCTACCCCTACTGGGTATCGAACCCCTCGGCGTGTGTGAAGCGAGAGCTTTGCTAGCCAGACCACGGGGCCCTGTATGTTCTTCCCCACCCGTAAATCCCATACGGATTTAACGTTCTTCCTATAACTACAATACCTAAGCGATTTCTGCTGATAGAAATTACATACTTCAAAGGATAGCTGGGAGTCCTTTATGGCAAGTCAGGTAGTTCAAGGTGCAACAGAAGGTCTTATCAACTTTTACGTTATCAGTTGAAGAGTGAACACGTTTTCATTAAATATTTTTAAACTGAAAGGAGAATTAGATTGTTATATGGAGGATCAGTTGGTGTTGAAGCCGCCAGGGCGGCGCTCCAGGGGATCGCACTCTCTGTCAGCTATACTCGCCGACTCTCTATACTTGTTTACATCTGGGTGTTATTGTGTTCTACGAATTAGGATTTATTCTCCATATTTAAGGATATTTTAGTGTCTCAGCAGACCAAAATGTGGAGATGGAGGGAATTGAGTACAGTACCGAACCATTTGAGAGCTTATACGAGGTGTACGAGGAGATAGGAAGGTGAGAATCGTTGGTCCTGGGTCACCAGTCACTTTACTGAATCATCTTAAGTTAATTTTAAGCCAGCCCGTAATGCTATGCATAGTATAAGTGGCTTTGGCATACTGCTCTTATCTGTATTTTTTTGTACCTCTGTATGTGTGCACAAATTTATAATAAATAAATAAAAAAATAAAATCCATCATTCATTGTGGCTTGATACTGATATTGTATTTATAATTTAAAAGATATTCTATTACCTGTTATAATATACCAAGTTAATTAAAAGCGTATGTTTAGTACAAGCTTTCACAGCAAATGTAGTTAAAAACTGCTAAGAAGGTTTAGGCGGGACTGATTGACATATCCCATTGTATTGAAATGAAATTTAAGTACGTTTTTTTTTTATATAGTTAATTATGTAGAAATTAATGTAGCTTAACCAATTAAAATCTAGTTATGGTACAAAGTTTCATTTTTACACAGGTATAAATACATGCAGTCTTCCCAAACCATAGTTATATGAATAAAAGTCAAGTAATACTAAAATGAACATAGGAGGTAATAAAAACAATTATAAATGTTTTAACAACAGTCTACAGGAAATCCTTATCCTCTTTCTGAAGCTTTATTCAATATGTATTCTCTGATCTATTTAGTAAGTAATTTTATATAGGTACAGGTACACGTAAATACAATTATCATACATAGTTTAACATATGTGTAAATTACCTAAGATAATCCAAAAATGTCAAAGTGACTTATTTCCATTGTCTTATACTGAGATCAACCTTGACCTCTTTGTTATTTTGTTAAGTTGTTGTAATATCAGTATTAAAACAGGGAAGTGTTTTTGGGTATGCCCAAATGAGATAAATCTGTGGACTAAAATCACAAGGGTATTAAAAGAGGATAACATCAAAGCTGCTTTCATAGAAAACCTGGAAGCTTTCTACAACAGATGGGAACATAAAAAGTCTGGGCTGAATGGTACTGCCCTTGATACTGGCCATGTAGTCAGAAACTGTAAGGCTGGAGGTGATGTCCTGGTAGTCAGTAAATGTGGGGCTGATAGTGCTGTCCTGGGAGACAGTAATGGTGAAGCTGGAGGTGCTGTCCTGGGAGACAGTAATGGTGAAGCTGGAGGTGCTGTCCTGGGAGACAGTAATGGTGAAGCTGGAGATTTTGTCCAGGTAGTCGGGAATTATACTCAGGAAGGAATACATATAAATGACCTCATAGGGGACAGGAGCCATAGTGGGGAAACAAGTGTAGTCAAAGATAAGATAAAACCAATATTGCAAACTAGAAATACCACAGGAAATAGCAAACAAGAGGACGTCACTAGCAATAGTGAGGATATATTACCAAAAACAACTGGTGGGAGCTCCATTGTTGGTGCTAGGGAGGATAGGAATAAGACAGAGAAACATGCACCAACAGGGAATACAGTCACAGAAACCCAAGGCAAACGGAAACCAAGCCTGTGCACATACTATGCACTTGGTATCTGCAGACATGGGAAATCTGGAAAAACAGACGGGACGTGCAACTATGACCACCCTAGAAAATGCCATGCCCATATGACAACAGGAAAATGCAAACTCCCTTCCTGTAAGCTTTTTCACCCTGAAATGTGTACCTCTTCAGTACAGGAAAGACTGTGCTATAACTTAAATTGCTAGGCACACCATCTAAAGGGGACAAAAAGATACAAAACATCCAGGCCATGGGAAAACCTGGGTAGCCACAGCCACTCAAGAGGGAGAGTTTTTTTTAGTGCCAGGAAGAAAAAAAAACTGGCATGAAATGGCAGAAATCGTACACCAAATCCAGTCATTCCTGGAGTGGAACCACAGTCGATGGCCTCCACTCCAAACCAACAGATACAGATACTAATGCCGGAAAAAAAATCCCCCCCAGTACCAACAATACCACCAGTCCAATGACATTCTTCTTTGCAAATATACAGGGTTTAAAGCCAGCAACAAACAACAAAATACCTTTCATCCGTGGACTGCTTGCAGAGGCAAAGGCAATGTTCGCGGCTTTCACTGAGACCCACATAAAGGATCACTTGGACAACGAAATATGGATCCCAGGTTACAACCTATACCGATGTGATAGAGTGAACAGGCAAAAGGGGGGGGGGGTTGGCCTGTACATTGCAGAGTCACTTGTTTGCACAGAACTGCTTAATGCCTCAAAGGGATGTAGTGGAAGTTTTAGCAGTAAAGGTCGAGAACCAAAACCTAGTCATTGTGGTAGTCTTCAAGCCTCCGGATGCAACATCCCAGCAATTCCAGGAACAGCTGTTAAAAATTGACCACTGTCTGGAAAATCTTCCAGCTCCTGCACCCAACATCTTGCTCCTGGGGGATTTCAACTTAAGGCACCTAAAATGGAGGAATATAGCAAATAATAATATTGCAGTAATAACACCAGGAGGCAGCTCTGATGAAAACTCACACTCACACGAGCTTTTAAATCTCTGCACAAAATTCAATTTAAACCAGTAAATAATAGAGCCTACTAGACTGGAGAATACACTAGACCTCATCTTCACTAACAATGATGATCTGATAAGAAATGTCACCATATCAAAAACAATATACTCAGATCACAACATAATTGAGGTTCAGACATGTATGCATGGAGCCCCAGACCGACATAATGAGACTAGTCACGAGGGAGCATTCACCAAATTCAACTTCAATAACAAAAACATAAAGTGGGACCAAGTAAACCAAGTCCTAACCGATATAAGCTGGGAAGATATACTAAGCAACACAGACCCCAACTTATGCCTAGAACAGATTAACTTGGTGTCACTCGATGTATGCACAAGGCTTATTCCTCTAAGAAAAAGGAGGAGTAGATGTAAAATAGAAAAAGACAGGCGCTCCCTTTACAGGCGACGGAAAAGAATAACAGAGCGGCTAAAAGAGGTCAATATATCTGAAATGCGTAGGGAGACACTGGTCAGAGAAATAGCAAGCATCAAACTTAAGCTAAAGGAATCTTATAGGAGCCAGGAATCGCGGGAAGAACTAAAAGCCATAAATGAAATCGAAAGAAACCCAAAGTATTTCTTCTCCTATGCCAAATCGAAGTCGAGAACAATGTCCAGTATTGGGCCCCTACTTAACCCTTTGACTGTTTCAGGCCCCTCTCTGAAACTGTCATTCTATGTCGCTCAATTTTTGAAAAAAAAAAAACAAATTATTTTTTCTCATAAAATGATAGAGAATCTTTTCCCGATGGTAATGACACCAAAAGTTCGAAATTTGGTCGAAAACTCATGGAATTATGCTCCCGCAAAGTTAGCTGTCTCGGCGACATATGCGTATTGGCGATTTCGCCGACTTTGAGACCTATTTTCAGCCAATTCCATTGTTCCAGTTGACCAAACTCATAGCTATTTCTTTAGAACTCCATTTTGTCTATCAGCTGAGTACAAGAAACCTCCCATTTACTAATTTGGACTACCCAATATGGTGGTCAAATTGGCAATTTGGCCAATTTCACGCAAACTAAAAAAGATGCCAATTTCAAAATAGGGTCCAGAATAAACAAGGTAGACATACGTGGCACTAAAATAACATATGCTCTGTTCATTAGTCACATCTCTAGGCCCCTCTTATATTATTATTGCATTCTATTTTGATTTTTTATTCATACAAAAAAATACAAAATTTACTGTTATGCAGACTACTGCATTATTGTAAAAATGGTATAAATAATATCAGGGCACTAGTGAAAGAATATTAGACTCCCCAGTTGACGTGTATTGGACGTGTGGTGTGATTTATTTACTCCTGAACATTGGTAAAAATCGAACATTTCCGCTAATTTGAGCTCAGTTTCAAGGTCGTTTTCATCGTCAAAGTAATGAAAATCATCTCTATTTCTGTAATATGTTTTCCATTTTATCATCAAAGACCATGAAAACGCGAATACAACGATAAATACTATACGAAAATACACCTCAAAGTTGGCGTTTTATTCCAAAAAAAACATCAGTTTTTTTTTTCATTACGCAATGTGTGCTGCAGGATTTTTTTATGTGGTGCACACTGACCACACAGACCCATTCCTCACATGTGGGCCTACTAGCTTTCTCCCGCTTGATTTGAAGCCGCTAGAATTATTGAGTATATATACGTCAGAAACACTGGCTCGCAAGACGTATTTATACGTCGAAAACAGTCAAAGGGTTAAACAAGATGGGTCCTACACAGATGACAGCAAGGAAATGAGTGAGCTACTCAAGTCCCAATATGACTCAGTTTTTAGCAAGCCGCTAACCAGACTGAGAGTCGAAGATCAAAATGAATTTTTTATGAGAGAGCCACAGAATTTGGTTAACACAAGCCTATCCGATATTATTCTGACGCCAAATGACTTCGAACAGGCGATAAATGACATGCCCATGCACTCTGCCCCAGGGCCAGACTCATGGAACTCCGTGTTCATCAAGAACTGCAAGAAGCCCCTATCACGAGCCTTTTCCATCCTATGGAGAGGGAGCATGGACACGGGGGTCGTCCCACAGTTACTAAAAACAACAGACATAGCCCCACTCCACAAAGGGGGCAGTAAAGCAACAGCAAAGAACTACAGACCGATAGCACTAACATCCCATATCATAAAAATCTTTGAAAGGGTCCTAAGAAGCAAGATCACCACCCATCTAGAAACCCATCAGTTACACAACCCAGGGCAACATGGGTTTAGAACAGGTCGCTCCTGTCTGTCTCAACTATTGGATCACTACGACAAGGTCCTAAATGCACTAGAAGACAAAAAGAATACAGATGTAATATATACAGACTTTGCAAAAGCCTTCGACAAGTGTGACCATGGCGCAATAGCGCACAAAATGCGTGCTAAAGGAATAACAGGAAAATTCGGTCGATGGATCTATAATTTCCTCACTAACAGAACACAGAGAGTAGTCGCCAACAGAGTAAAGTTCGAGGCAGCTACGGTGAAAAGCTCTGTTCCACAAGGCACAGTAC